AATATCGACTTGATAATTATTTTTGTTTGTTAATTGTTTTAAGATAATAGATAAAAGAAAATTGTCAACAAAAAAAGATTTTTTTTTTTCCTTAAATTTTAATTTTAATTCATTGTGAAATATTTTGGTACTGAGAAGTTGCCTGACCTTTTTTGTAAATTTACATCAATTAATCGTACAGTAATCATCAGTAATTTAGCAAGTAGGTGGGTTAGAATAAATTATTAAACGGGCTAGTATCGATTTTCAAAGACCGATCTTTGCATATTTCTAGCCTACAGCTATAGAGGAGACACAATCTGATTAGATGTAAGTGCTATAATGCCACGGTGATTGTCTCTTCATAAATTATGAATACAGAATCGAATGTTATAGACGTGGAGAATAAGACAAACGTAAAGGCTACGCTGGCTGAAACGCCTCAAGTATCAGCCATGACAGAGAAAGGAGTAAACGATTTGGCGCATGAAAATGATGCGCAGGAAGGTTGGGTGGCAACAACAGACTGGGTAGAATCCTGGAAAAGTAAACTTCCTCTTCAAACGGTGATGAGGCTTCTGCAAGTTCTTGTGCCACAAGTTGAGAAGATTTGCATTGATAAGTAAGTTTTCATTTTCAATGAAATAAATTTGAGATTTTGGTTAGGAATATTGTGTAAAAGTTGGATTTTTATCCTTTCGTTTTCAACATCTCCGTTAAGGCATCGTTTTCGATTGCGTACGATAGCTTTAGAACTGAATTATTTTGCAAGTATTTGATGTGCTCTGTTCAAATGAAATGCTAAGTTTTGCAGAGGCTTAACAGATGAAAGCGAAATCTTGAAATTCCTACAACATGGTACTTTGGTGGGATTGCTACCTGTTCCTCATCCAATACTTATTAGAAAATATCAGGCTAACGCTGGTACTAATCACTGGTTTCGAACGTATCTATGGGGAGTCATCTATTTAAGGTATCTTTTCTAAATCATGTTCCACTACTATTTTGAGAATTTTGTTATCCAGTGTTAGATTTTTCAGGCTGCGGAGATTTAACATCAAGTTATTTTTTTATTCACAGGTTTTATGCAGATTCAAAGGAATGTTGATTGTAGGTACAAGAAGTTAATTTTGCATTGAAAAGCAAGCTTTGTGCATAAATACAACGATCATTATTTATATTTGTTTATTTAATAATTTATATTTCCTTTGCTTTTTAGAAATATCGATCCACCAATTTGGTACGATACTGACGTTAAACTGTTCGAAATCCAGAAAACCTAAAATCCCTGTTCAAACTTTTAAGGCATTTATTACGAACGGTTGTGCTGAAAAATTTTCTGTCTCTGTTTGTCGATGTGTGAGGGGAAATTGTCTGGAAAAAGGCATTTGTACTTCTTCAATCCATCATGTTTTACTTCACTGTTTTATTTTTTCACATAAGGAACTTGAATAACTGATATCGTTTCACACTTTAGCGGCGTTGAATTGTCTACCTTTATAGTTATTGGTTGGTTTTGTGCGTTCAGGATGAGCTATATAACATTACCACTAAGTAGTTTCTGGTGATGTGAAATTTGGTGTAAGCTCTCTGAGGTTGTGCTATATTTCTTGTTTCTTGATATATGTATTACCTACCTATAATGCAGACAAATTCCTCGTAATTTCTTTCTACTTCAGGAGCTTTTTTCCAAGGAAACACCTAGTAATTCATTCCCTACATCCCGATTATGACCAGTGTCGTATCTTCCAGTGAATCTGAGCAATCCTTGCTCTTCATTCAATCTGACAGGGTCGCATTTCACGTTTCAAGTAAAACTTTTCTATCCTCAGTATCTTAAGAATTACTTGGCGAATTCAGTGTCACTTCACTGAAAGTGCAAAATGCGGTTAGATAAAACGTATGCACTCACTGTGCAGCGAATTTACTACTGCGTTTGCTAATCATTTATCAATGGGTTGTTGCTGATAAGAAAGAATGATCTCCATGGATGAAGTATGCGGGCTTATATGTTATGGTTATCAGATGTATACTAAACTTTTTTTTTGACTGGTAGGACTGGCTAAGACATTCCCACTTTACCAACTTGAAGCACCTCCAGTGTTGATTTTGTATAACCAAAGGAGATGAGAACCGGCTTAAAGCATTTTATGCACATCAAGCCAATAGATGCAGCGATAAACATGTGAGAAACCAAATGAAAAATATGAGATCTCGAATAAGGGAAGATATTTGAGATAAATTATTAATAATGCAAAGGCAAATGCCCGTATTCAAGGAAAACATATTTCTCCAGAAATTTTACGTGATTTTCCTAGACATTTTGCTCTGAAGAGATATAAAATGAGCAATATTACTGTTGGTATAAAGAATACATCAATATGCTAAACAGCCGCGAAATCTTGGTTTCGCAGCCAACCAAAGCATAAATATTTTAGTAACTTCACTTTACTGAATAACCCAATAAATATATAACCGAAAAAGAATATTAACACTGCGACAATGCAGAATATATTACAACACGAGATCAAGCCCCAATTCTCTTGTCGCATCTTTTAATGGGCAGTTACATTTTCAACACCTTTCTATGTATTAACTAGAAAACAGAAGGCACTATTTCAATTTCTTCAGGCCAAGTACTTGTCAAGGTTTCTTTATGACGTTTTTGACTTCTAGTGCTCCAACTATCTCGATCCTATTTGTGGCAATAAGTTGAGTGATGAACGGCATTTATTTTGTAGTAATGAAATATTGAAGATCACCACGGCCAGGATGGACCAACCTGATTATTAGTTGCTGAACTCCCCCCACCGCTATATGGTGGCAAACTCATAGGACGTTGCGCATCTTGGCCAACAGCAGGTGAAGAACTATCAAAGAAATCCGAATGTATACTAACACTGTGTGGACTACGTGGCACGGGTGTTCGTAGCGATTCAATTGGAGAATCCATAATAGCACCTAAAGTATGTATATTCAGCATTAAAACCAAAAATATAAAAAAAAATAAATGGATATCAAATTAAAATGAAATTACCTATATGAAAATTAAGGCTCATTGCTGGAGAGACAGACATCGCCGTAGTTGCGGGCACCGTTGCTGAAGACGGTCGTCCAATGTTCAGAGGATTTGTAGTATTAAGAGATGAAAAATCCATTAACGAATGTGGATGTGTTTGTTGCGTTGCTTCCATATGTCCTGCTGCTTGTGATTGACGATGCTCATTTCGAGGTCGAGATATATCAGATAGTGCAAATTCGGAGATATTTTGTTGAGGTAATACACTGGTGGCAACAGGTCTGTTCATGCTATTCGGTGAATTAACAACTAGCTCTGAGGAAGGAATTGGTCGAAACATGTTGTCCATATTTGGTTGTGTTTGCTAAATCAACAGATTCATGAAATTTAAGATAACTTTGCGAATAAAATAAAAAAAAAATGTTAGTGGAAGCTTAATAATAATGAAGAATGCCAGGTTTGTAACGCAACTTTTTCGATGTAATTGAACTGCAATTTAAAAATTATGTGCCAGGCATCTTTATGACAACCTTCATGATCATGAATAGAATTCGATTTTGTAGTGATGCTGGTCAAAAGCTGTATCAATTTCAAGAAATGAGGTATATTCCAAAATCCAATGAAAGAAAGAAAGCCTAGCATAAAATCAACTGTGATCTTTTTGCACCTTAAACCTAATACATGACGCCTCAACTTTTCAAAGTATGTGACATCAGATTTAAAGGATTTCAAAACAGATTAGGAGGATTAAAGCTGCAAAACAAAATGAAGATCACGACACTCAAACCTTCGCCTGTGCAGCAAGCTGCGCCAACTGCTTTGCGCGCCGATATCTTCGCCTATGTTGTTTACCATTGTTCGAATTGCTATGATGTTTCTGAATATGTTCTTTCAACTTATCTCGCCTCGAAGATGAATAATCACAATTATCGCATCTAAATATTGTTTAAAGCAGTCATTTAGCTTCTTCGAATGACTTGATTTTGAAAGTCCTAAAACTTACTTAAAAGGTTTATCCTCCAAATGTATCCTTTCGTGTCGTACCAAATGTGATTTCTCGATAAAAGAACGATTACATGTCTTACAGTGATGTGCTCTGACCGCTAAATGCGTTCTGAAAGTAATTTATTGAATCAGAAATTGTGAAAAACTGGTGACCGAATAGTACTTTAAGCTGTACCGACCATTTCTTTGAGAATAAGTTTAAAAAGAATTTGGAAAACTAAAAATAGGAGGGCAGTAGGAAAGGACAATATATTAAAATATAACACTTATCATTAAAAGCGATAAAGAAGAATTAGGAAAACCGAAAGAAATTTGGTTTCAACTTTCCAAAAATATTAGGCTTTACCTTAAATGTGCAGCAAGCTGACTTTTCTTGGGTGACGAATAGGTACACTCTTCATAGTGACAGTGAAAAACATCACCCGAATGAATACGGCGATGAGAAATCAGGTGACTTTGATATTTTGTCGAGAAATCGCAATGAAGACATTGGTAAGGTCTGTAAAAAAATGGAAATTAAATCTATTTCAAACTATTATATATGATACCTAATTGAGTGGTCATGAGAGGAGCAATAAGCTTTAAAGATAACGATACCTATTTTCGGAATGCGCAGCGACATGCTGATCTAGGGTACTTTTCATTGCAAATGCACGACCACATTCGGAGCAATGAAAAGGCTTATCAACAGTGTGATTGCGAATATGGCTAATAAGATGATTTCTTGAGCGGCTTTTGTAATCACATAATGTACATTTGAATGGTCGTTCATCAGCTGAAATAAAATCAATTGAAATTCGCCAAAGCTAACGTTAACCTATATGGAGAGAATATTTTGAGAAACTTGAAAAAACCATCTGATCCCCAGCCTAAATAACAGAAAATGCACACGAACTTACAGTGTGTTAAGCGATGCGAAAGTAAACTTTGAATGGAATCACTGCCATACTGACATATATCGCACTGGAAAGGTGGACCCTGAAATCGGAAAGCTTTGTATTAAATAATTTATCTCCTCATTCTGACGAATGTATGCATATCACCCTTCCTCTTTGGTGAAAAACTGCAAATCAACGAAGTAAACTTTTCCCCAAAAAAACCACTCTCAAATCACTAACTCTTAAAGCACATACCGAGAAATGTGTCTTCATATGTTCATAGTAATCACGATTCCAACGGCATTCATAAACGCAAAGAGAACAAACATAGGCGATGTTTCGAGTATGTGCTCGTACAATATGATGCTTAATGAGAACCGCAGTTGAACTTTTGTATGCACAATGGTCACATTTGAACAGTTTCTCAACAACTGCGCCGTTCGTTTCGCCATTTGTTTCATTATCGGATTCATCCGGCTGTGAACACGGATCAACTTCATCCGCTTCATCAAATATAACCTATAAAGACGTTTTTAAGTTCAACAGATTTTATTACAAACCCATACAAAGACATTTACAAATCATAGTTTCCTAAAAAATGCCTAGTTTAATGAGTGAAAATGTACCTGTTCATTAAGATCAATTCCACAGTCTGGATATAATTCTTCAGCTACTTGTGTCTCATCTACTTTTAAAGCTTCAGTCCGGACAAAACTTTTATTCTTTGGTGGTCTACCTCGCCGTTTTGCCAATACTTGATTTGCTGCAGTTATTGATTTTCGGTATAATTTGTGACGACCGGCAGCAGCTGGAGAAAAGCAAGTAAAAATGAGCTTCTGATCCTAATTCTTCAGCACCAATAGCTATAAGAATAGGAAAAGGGATAAAAGTAAATGAAAAGCTGGTTCCGAGGGGAAAAAACCATATTTCCCTGAAGTCATAATTCCTGTAAAGTAGAAAAATAATTTACTGCATTCTTTGTCGAAATTGTGCCACAACATGGATGGAATAAATAGAAAAGAACAAAAATGTATTTTAATATTAACAAACCTAAAAGACGATTTTTTCGATTCAAAATATTCATCGCATTTAAGTGAATTTTCAGCTTTAAAGATGGACGAGAACCATCACCTGTCCCTGCAGGATTTAGCTGAAATCAAAACTCATAGCTTAGCAAATAGAATATATCTTGTATCACAGCATGTATCAAATACGATACCTCTGTAAACTCATTCTCTATAAACTTTTGTAAACTCATATTTTACCTTAAAACTTAATCTATAAATTTACTACGTTGTTATGTAAGTGGGATTAGTATAAAAGAGCATTTTAATACATAAGCTCTTACTTTGTACTATAATTATTCACTAATAAAATTTGATGAAAGCAAAACAATCAGAAGTGATGATGCTTAAAACAATTCTTGCAATGAAAACTAATGAGCAAAACGCCAATTACCACTTCTTCAGTTGTTGAAGCACCGATTACAGGAGGTTGTCCAGTTTCTTCATTAAAATCTGATTGTGCCTGCACTTTGTTGGTATCGGTTTCATGAGTTTCATCACCAATTCCTCCACTCTGCGAACTTCCACCCTCCGATTTTACGCTGCAACTGTCTTTTTTAAAACATCAAAAATTATTTGAATTTACCACCAACAAGTTTGTACTAGTACTTTTTTTACTTCAGTTCTGGATTTAGTTTTGCGAAATAAAAAGGAACAAAAAAATTGCATTCGTGATGCAAATTTAGTGAAAAGCATTTAAGCTCCACAAATTCATACTTCATCGCGAAACCAGTCTCTCCTTGTGAGATACCACGCGACTGTGATTGGGGCTGTGAACTACTCCCATATGTCAGGTGGGCATCATTGTAAAAAATCGTTCTTTCGTTGCCAAATTGAGCAGTAAGAGTTCGATATTGTGCCTGGTATTTTGCCATTGGCATTGAATGTTCGCACCTTTGAAAAATAAATAGTAAAATAGTAAAGACCTGGAAATTAATAGGAGCCGGTACATGTTACCCAGGATGAGGAAGACAATCGCTTTTAGCCTGGTAAACGAACATAACGGATGAATAACACGTTCGAAAATATTTACGCCAGACACTTTAAAAAAATGTCCTGAAACTATTTTAACTTAATTCAAAGAGTAAAATAAAAACGCAAGAGAAGTAGAATTGTACATCATTTGCATTAGTGTATATCGTGCTGCTTGAGAGTTGATAAGGAAAGACGAATAGTCCAGCAAATATTCTAAAGTAGCGGATTGCACCGATGCAAACGAACATGCAGATAACATCTCCTTGAAAAGAGAATCACGCTGCGTTGGATTATGTCCAATCCAATGAACTATTAATCTGAATTTATAATATATTAAAACTCATCGACTCTAAAAAATTCTTATGAAGGAATAAATTTCCTTCCGAAAAAGACAATATTACCAGTAGAAATCAATAGCAGAAACTTAAATACACAAATTCGTTATTTTCAAAAATAAAATGTAATTTTACTTCAGATGGATATCAGGAGATATAGAATTGGCATATTTTGGTTCAGAGAGTAACGCATTCAACTGAGCCAAAGAGAATTCGACAATATCCGTGCTTTCCAGTAAGCATCTGTTGATGTTAACATCGAAGAAATCGCATGCACTTTTCAGGAGAGTCGGCAAATTATATTTCAGTGCAAGTTCCTTTACCGATAAACAATTTGCTGAGTCCATGTAACGGTCCAAATACTCCGCACAATAATTCTTTACTCGCGTTATCTGAAACAAAGACGGTAACAGGTTCGTTTCAAATAATTCTTTATAACCATATAAGTCAACAAAATATATCAGCATACTGTATTATAGGCGTGCAAAAATACTGAATATACTGCAATAAAGTACTTTTTTTTAAATAAAAATAAATTGACCAGAAAATTATTAGCGAGCTTCAGCAGGTCAGTTACACTACTGCGATCAATGACAACACTTCCACTATACATATAATTGAGCAATAGTTCAAAAACTGCAGGATTCTGACAGTTCACGGTCACCTAAAGTTAACTTGTAAGGATAACAGTGGTAAAAAAAATTTAGAGTACGAAGCAAATATGATCTTGAAAATTAAATTATTAAAATAACATGTCTTTGCAGCACACGCAACAACCCATTTTAAAAAACTACAGTTTTCTACTTTTGTTGACATTAGTATGTATCAGTTGGTCTGCAAATGACGCGTTTTATAACTTATATCTTAGACAGTGCTTGACCGATACAGTAATTATCCCAATTTCCTGTCATATACAAAGTGATGAAGAAATATTGCAAAATGCTTATTGTCAAAAATACGACTGCTCGAGTAGATACATTAAACCTGTTCTTTCACAACTTTCGAATTCCTCAATATAGAGTCAAAATATGGACTGCACGCCGCAAGGATATTTCGATGTGCGCAAAAATGACGATCCTTGACGACAATGTATACATCACAAAAACGTCCCGTGTCACGTTGATAACGTAAACGTTCCAATATGACATTCCCATGCTGATCCGTAAATGACATCGGATTCAAGCTTCCATTCCCATCCTGTGCACAAGTTGACAGCGTTGTCATTGCTCTAAAATATATTTTATTTTTATTTATTTCGGCATGGCCAAAACACATCCACACTCTGCGCATCAAAAAATCTAAATCCATCTTTCTCAACTTAGAAACTGAAATTCTGTTTATCCACAAAATTACTCAAATTCCGAAATACAGATATCGTCAAAGAGAGGTTCAAGCTATAAATTATTCAAAGCAAATAAATGCGACCTTCTAATATATTTATCAACACCAAGAAATCAGAATCCAGAAGCGACAGCAGCTCAACGATGGAGATAAATGGGAGAGCACAAACGAGACACGACCAGACCACCGCTTTTAATTATATTTAATTCAATAGTTCTGACTTAAATATAAAAAGCTATATGGAAATTTGCATATAACTTTAAGTTTTATGGGGTAGAAGAGTTATTTCGCATGTTTCTCTGACTGCGAATTATTCGCAGTTATCCGCAGTACTACTCACTGTGGCTATTTAATCATTTTCTGAATCATCTTTTTTTTCATCGATCTCCGCCTTTTTTTGATCAGGATAGTCCTTACAACCATATAATGATACAACATACTATTCAAGAAATGTTCCGCTTCCTAAAGGTGAACCATTCCGTTAATCCCATGCCCTTTAATCTTAGCAACTTATCAGCTTATTTTTCTCTTTAAATAACTGTATTACTTCCCTTCTCCAAACCTCCAACTCAAGCATTTCAAAAGAAAGCCTCTAATCTCACGCAATCGTTTCACTTTCTGCACCGTAAAGTGCTACGGTAACACGTCGTAGCATCCCAGCGTGCGCAACGAAACGTGAAACGAAGTATGAATAGGAATTTGTGGTTATGCTGGTGAACTGGAACATTATGATTTCTTGGTGGGAAAGTAATGTAAAAGGTAAAGTGTTACATAGATCTGAATGGGAGAGCAGGTAATTCAAATTTTGGGAATACAAGTTATCGTAATTGTGACGATGATAACATTCGTTTGAGCAGAAATACTCACTTGTAATTACAGCCCACTTGTTTCATACAATAATGATAACATCAGCAAATCTTTAATGGTGATTGCGGGGACTTCATTGATATGAAGGTATTCCTTTCCCTTCATTATAATTTCGACATTATTTGTTATCTTCAGTTTGTGGAACTGTATTGGTTTTGAATAATTAATCTTATAGTAATCAAGTTTAAGTTGATGAATATAATAAGGATTAATTAGAAAGCATTTCACAAATTGTTATCTGATTAATGAGTCCCTTCGAACTTAGAAATCGTTGAGTATGTTAAGATTTATAACTTTGTTTCTGAATAATGTTCATTTCTCTCTTTTGCTTTCTCTGACGCCGGCAAACCATTTTTCTTGCGCTTTATGAAGAACTTTACATGTTATGTTTTGAATTATAAGAAATTGAGAATGCATAGTATTTGATATAGGATATAATAGAAATTTCGAAATAAAAGAAATTTTTGAAAAAGAAATTTCTGAGATACTACAACTCAAATGATTAACTACGTGTATCAAAATTTTCAATGGAATTTTGAAAATTCGCAGCAATTTTGAGTTCATTTCGCAGGAAGCAGTAGCTTTGGTAACCGGTGGAGCATCAGGTCTGGGTAAAGCGACGGTGCAGCATTTACTGAAACATGGTTTCAAAGTTGCCATGTTGGATCTCCCATCTTCGAATGGTTCTTTCCTGACGAAATTGATAAATCGGAATTGCTTATATGTCCCAGCCAATGTAATATTCAATTTTAATCAGAAATCTTAGTACAAGTTTTCAAATTTTAGACGTCATGTTTTGAGTGGATAAGCTTTTGTTCTCTCAAGTATATATATACATATATGCTAATAATAATGGCAGCCTCCAGCTGATTTTCCAACTAATTATCACACATTTTCAGATAACAAATGATGAGGAAGTAAAAAATGGTATGTCGAAAGTGAAGGATAAATTTGGACATTTGAATGCTGTGATCAATTGTGCCGGGATTTCTTTCAATTGTAAAGCGTTTAGCTTCAATAAACAAAATACGAATCAGAAATCAGCAATAATGTCGGATTTAAAACAAGTGTTAGCAGTGAGATTTTTGTTCCGTATCATTGAATCTTAAATCCTAGTCGTGTGATTTAACTTTTATTATAATTTATTTGCTGTTACACCTCAACATTTAAATTCTGCAGTTATTATAGAAGTACTCTACGTATTGCAAAATTTCCTTATGTTTGTTATTTTTCCCGTTAAGGTGAATGTTGTCGGCACACTCAGTGTTATCCGATATGCACTCGATCTAATGGCACAAAATGAAAAAGATGTGTCGGGATGTCGAGGCGTTATCATCAATACGTCATCATTCTCATCCTTTGAGCCACAGTTTGGACTGGCAAGTTTTTAAATTTTAAGATGGCGATTAGATTTCACTAGAGATTCATTTCAGATTAGCACTAATTTTATTGAATCAGGCTCGGCTTAGTGTCGGCGTGTATTCCATGTTACCGTATTATATAGATCAACATTTTAGGGGTTTGATGCGATGTCTTCTGGAGCTGTGAATAGTGCTACATTAACTTTGGCAAAAGATCATGCTTCGGATGGTATTCGATTTGTCGCCATTGCCCCAGGCATTTTTCGGACACCTTTGTTGATTTCCCATATGAATGAATTGGTATTTGATTCATGAGTTCTCGTACATTCATTTTTTGTTCTAATATAAACGAAATATCGGAAAATCATGGTTTAGTCTTATAGAATGTGGAAATATACGAGAAAATGGTGGAACTTCCTTCGCGATTAGGCATACCAGAAGAATTTGCTGCTCTTGTGTTGCATATTATTCAAAATAGTTATTTGAATGGCGTAGTCATTCGTTTGGATGGTGCTCTTAGGATGCCACCATAAACTGCTGTTCATACAGATCTATGAATGGATATCTCAGTTTCTTAGTCTTAGGCTTTAATACATGTGTGAATTTCTTGCACGATGTATATTGGTTTTGTTTTATCGTTGATGTTAACTGCTACCACTTTTTTTGTATTTGATTTCCACTAGTCGATAAACTTGATGACTGGAAGTACTGTTTTATTATCCATTGTTTGTCGATCAGGATTTTATTATATTTGAAAACACACATGGGATCATCGATCTTTGCAATGGTTTGGAAATTTTTGTCAAATGAATTTGAAAACTCGGAAGGAACTTCTTGGAAGGATTACAATTGATTAGCAGTTAGCACCGTCAAATTGATATCTTGAATAGTTGAACTAAATTCACTATGCGCTCAGCTAAGGTCTTCTCTCTATTTACTTCTAGCAGCTAAGCTGGGATATGAATGGACCGCTTATTTTGTCGTGAAATTTCGTTGGACTGCGGGTCATAAAAATTTTGTATGGAATTTGGTCCGTTCAATTGACAGTTCGTGCTCTTTCGTCGCTTTGTTTGTCATTTGGCTAGACTTAATTTATTTGAGTTGGCGGGAAGAAGTGCAGCGTCATCTGTCGATTTCGAGCAGGTTATTTAACCAAAGTTGGTGAGACCTTTGAATACAAGTAGGTTAGATCAATGACTTCAATAAGTTGCCCTTTTTGGTTTTTTTCTTTAGTTATATATGGTTTTCTGATTAGTTTATATGTTAGAGAAGTTTCATTACATGGCTAATCATGAGCTATAGTATTCTGGGAGGGTAAGCATTAAAGTACTATTTGTTTACAAAGCTTGATGTTTAGCTTCCAGATGGTACTCAAAGGTTTCTTCCAAATCCGTAGTTCGGACTGAATTGTCATGTTTTGATTTTGATATATTTCGGTGACAATTTAGATTCCAGTCATCTCAGAGTCTGATAGAAATTTTTTGTTCCCAGTCATATGAAATGAAACTAATTCTCAATGGATAGGGCTGCAATTAAAATATTCGGAATGGATAACGTGCTTTGAAAAATGAGTGATTTTGTCAAATTTCTTCCTATTTTTCAAACTGAACAATAGGCAGTTATCGTAACGAGGTGCTGCGCGTAGATCTTGTTGCTGTCTGGTTTTTTTTATTAAAAAAAATTTTGTTGCAGGATGGTATAAATTATGGTTACATATTTGGCTTCTGTGAAGGTATGTATTTATGAAATTGTGTATGTATTATTTCTCCAAGTACTTTGATTTATTAGTTAGAGTAATATTCGTTACCGTTTTTCATGGCATTGTGGCGTTAGTCACCGGTGCTGCATCGGGTCTTGGAGCTGGTACAGCGCGACATCTTCTCGAACATGGAGCAAAAGTAGTCATTATGGATTTACCGCAATCGAAGGGTGTGGAATTGGCGAAGGAAATGGGACAAAATTGCTTATTTACTGCGGCTGATGTGAAAATTTCAATTTTTGTATTTTTTTTAATGGTGAGATTGTCGAAATTAGAAGGTAGTGATGATTTATAGATTAAACGAAATTTGAAATATATTTTTTATTTACTCAGCTAACGTTAATATATCCCTCTATTGCTCAATAAATTAAGAAATAACAAAAGTAGGGGGAAGAAATGAAATGCATGGATAAATTGAGTATATAGAGTTTGAATACAATAAAAATAAAATCATTTGTTTCCGTCTAATATTCGGAGTGAGGTTGGATATTCGATTTCCAGGTGCGGTCTTCAGCAGACGTGTCCAGTGCATTCCGTACTTTGATTGATAAATTTGGACAGTTGGATGCTGTTGTGAATTGTGCTGGTGTATCATATCCATTCAAGCTGTATAACTTGCAGAAGAAAAAAGCTTGCGATGCAGAACTCATTCGTAAAACATTCGATGTAATAACTGCCTTCGTACTTAATCTTTAATCGATCATCAACTTATGAAAAGTTTTTCAAGTCGTTTCTTTCTCTAATCTAATATGTACTAAAATTCAGACACAAAAGAGGTGAAATTAACTGAGTATAAGTTGCAATGAATGAAGTCTTCTTATCTGCTACATTATTCCTATATGTTTAGTTTTAGGTTAACGTTTTCGGTACTTTCAATGTTATACAGCAGGCACTTGAAACATTTGCGCTTAAGAGCAAGGATAGCTTGGGTTTTCGTGGTGTTATTATCAATACAGCATCTATAGCAGCTTACGATGGGCAAGTAGGACAGGTTGAACTTTCATTTGTGTTTCAAAAGAGTTTATGAAAAATAGGCTGAGTCGCAAAAACAGGTAGATGATGCAATATTGAGCAATTTTTCTAATTTGAAAACAATATCGGGAATTATGTCATTTTTTTCGTTGTAGAGTGCTTACGCAGCTTCCAAGGGAGCCATTGTAAGTGCAACGCTTGCTTTTGCTCGTGACTATGCGGAAGATGGAATACGATTCATGACAATTGCACCGGGGCTTTTTGACACTCCGCTTATGAGTGGGCTTCCTGAAAAGGTAATAATGAACCATATGTTATTTCAATGAATAATGATTAGGATTTGTCTATTTGTTATTTCGCAAGCATTATTGATCATTACGTTGCAGGTACGAACTTTTCTAGCCGATATGATTCCACTCCCGAATAGGTTGGGTAGTTCAGAAGAATTTGGTGCCTTGGTCCGTCATATCATCGAGAATCGGTACTTAAACGGGGAAGTGATACGTCTTGATGGTGCCTTGCGGATGCCTCCCTAAAGCCATAGTAATATGGCACGATCGAAACTCACTTTTCTGTGAAAAGAATAGGACAATAATCGAGATTAGTGAAGAGGAGTTCACAGCTTTAAGAAATAAAAATGTTGTGTAACTAACCATTAAGCCATATGTCCGTTTACTTCAAGAATTGTTTGTTGTCTATTATCCTATTTGTTCACTGACATTTATTTTATTGGTGAGCTTTTGTAGTGCCTTTGTTGATTTTGATTTGCATAAACGTTCTGTTAGTGGTTGTTGTATATATGTTGTTAATTTATCATGTTGGAATAAAGCTCTAAATTTTTTATTCCCTTAGTTATGATCAAAAGTTGTGCTTCTTTGCAAGTAAGTACTTTTCATTTCAATGCTTGATCACTGGTAGTACAAAAGTGCATAACACCATATATTCAAAGCAATGATTTCACTGTTGGTCGTCTTCACTGGTGTGAGACTATTGGATTTTAGGATGAGCAATTTGATTAACGCTAGTGTAATGAAATTTTGTTTAGTCAAAATACTGAGTGTACCGGAATCATCGATAGCTTTGTATGGCTATCGAAAGGCATCTTCCTACCTGTCTGGTTCTTGTTTACTTTTTAATGTATGGATGTATTTAATGTGGAATGCGATGCTTATACATGTCTCGTTATGCAAGTATTTCCTTTTTTCTTTCCGGGTTGGTCGACACTTAGCATGTCGAATTTATCTTCAAGCTGGAAGACTACGCGTCGTTACGGTGAACCATTAAAAAAAGATAAAGCAGCTGCACTTTTCGATTCTGTATTTGCCAATCAGCCGAAAGCATCTACTTCGTTGGCAAGACCACTAGATTTCAATCCGTAAATTTTTGCATATGGGTTTATTTTGTTCACGATCATTTGCATTCATTATATCTGTTAATAAGGAGCTCCTATAAAGGTTAGGTTCGAAACTTGGTGATTCCCTTGATTTGGTTACATTTTGAAAGTTCCGAAACCTGTGTAAGGTGTGTAAGGTTTGGTTGCTGTAATAGAGAAGAGGTAGAAACTAGTGACTTCTCCACTGTAAGTTTTCAGATTTGGTGAGCTTGGTCTATGGGGGTTTCAAGCCACATCGGTATTTAATATAATATTTTCCATGTAAATAAAGTACGCACAAGATCTTCAAGCTTTTTTATCTAGTTCATCGAAATGTGTATCTCCGAAACGGGATCAAGTTCATAGTGAGTTGAGTACACCAAGTCCATCAAGCAGCTCGTTTCTTTCTCCGGCAGTTAGCATTCCTGACTTCGAAAAGGTTTGTTTCTGAATTGTTTTTTGTTACTATTTTTCGACAGAAAACACGAGTGTTTCGAGGAGGGATTTTTGAATACAAAATTATGCATTAAACTGTCTTTTTTCACATTGAAAAGGAAAATTAATTGTCCGGTTCAGGTATGCGGTGGAGGACGTACATTGATGATTTAGATATTCACTTTCGAAGTAAGCACATGGTTTGTATGAATGACTTTAGTTAAAATTTATTTTTTGAGTTTCAGATCTAATTTTCTTACCGCTTTATTAGTCTGTTGCTTGAGTAACAGACTAATTATGGTTCTGTTTTTCAGTCTGATGAAAGCGATGAAGAGGGTAGTAGTAATAAATTTGGAAGTAATCATTCATCGACATGCACGCTAGATATTTCTATGACACATGCGACGATTTCTGATAGTAAATCCTCCAGTTCATCACCTGTCAAGCAATCCTCTGAATTAGATCCAGATCGCCAAAAAATTGGAACTCTCAAATATCATTCCACTGAATCTAAACCGCAACGCAATGATGTTTTTTGCTTCGAAGTAGAGGACGAGGAAACTGAAGACACTGAAGGCAGTAATGAGATAGCCCCTCAAGCAAAACGCGCAAGACCGGAAGAAAAATGTACTAGTTCTCAAGGTGAGATATTGTTGTTATAGATACGTTCGAAATTTTCGTTGTTGAAATAGTTCATAATGTACTGATATGTGACTTTCTATAATAAAGTAAACTGTCGTGCCGAGCATGTTTTGCAGCCACGATGGCTTAGACCCCAGCATAATGATTAGTGGAATGTGATGTATTTCTTTAATGCATTAAGTTTTTAAAATGTATAAATCATTGTGTTATAGAAAAAGTGCTTGCTTATTTCAGAAAGAGCAGGAAGTTCTGGAAAAGGGTATTCTTTGGGAATTAAAGCTACATATAAACATAGGTGGATGTTGGATGACGATGATGATAATGACGATATTGGGTTGCGTTCGAAGCATTCAGATACCGATTTAATAACTTCTAAAGCAGAAGTATTATTTGTTTCATAATTTGCAATGTCTCGTGAATTACGAAGTTACTGCTGTTCAGATTCCCATTTCAAAAAGTTCTTGTTAACAAGAAATTATAGACAAATAACTTTCTTTGTGGTTTGAATATCTTAATGCTTGAATTACTGAATTATTAGGATGATGGCTCGACTGCTGCAGCAAATGTAAGTACCATTGGTTCATCAGGTACGATTGATCGTAGCAGGAAGGTCGAACGAGCACCCGTTTGGATTCGAGATGTTAAAGAGGCACATGAGTGCTTAAAATCGGGTGAGCAGGATGATTTCACTGACGATGTGAAATATATTTTGAGCACTCTTCTGGATCCTTCATCATCGAACAATCTGAAATGTTTAAGGTAATGGAATTTTGCATGCTCCTTTGCATCTTGTAAGGTTAGTTTCTTCTTCATACTTCCAGACTAAATCCAATATTTTGTCGATTTACATCTGATTTGTGTCATAAGCAGCCCTTATCTTTAGTTCGCCATTTATATTGCATTCCCACAATTTAGCGTCATATCACTGGCGAAGAAGTGTGTTTCGAGCGAATTCCGGCGATTTTTCCGATCTAACAATTTAATCAGTCGTACGCTGAAAGCAATTCCTGATTCACCAAAGTCACCGGTGATTTAGTCACTCAGTCTCCTGTCTTCAATAAATTTATCATTTTATAAAGTTTACATAAGTTTAATTGCTTTAGTAGGACATATAATGCACATGTGAAGCCGTATGTGGATGCTATTGTAAGACTCAGTTCCTATCATATTTCAGAGTTTGGCACTTTGCGTCTCAGTGGTTGTTTATTTGTTGTCTCGCGACACCACTTCTGTATTCGTTGACGCTTCTGCGCTCCGTTTGTTCAGTCAGTTGTTAAAATTGGAACATCCAAATCCGAATGAAGAATGCATAAGATATTCGAAAATGGTGGGTAATTGTTCATAACTATTGTAGGCTTTATGAATCTTTTTTGTTGTCAATAAATGTTATCTTTATAAATGGTCTTTTCTAATATAAGTATTTGAAGCCTCCTTGCCTTTTTTGTTGCACGCTGCGATCTTTACATCTTTTTTTGAGATGAGAGTTTTAGGCGATGGATGTACTAAAAGAATGGTTGGAAAAATCGTTTGCAAATACTGAATTGAACAAAGTTCAATTTGATATTACGGAAAAAACTCTTTCGGTAAGATTGCTTAGTTATTTATTGCTTGTTCTATATGAAGCTGTGAAAATATTTTATGTGTAGCACATGTTAATATTATTTCAGCCTTCGTTTCTCATTTTGGAATCACTTGTTTACATATGCGCACGTAAACATCGTGAACAGTCATTGCAAAGTGAATTGTTGAACGTGGGCATACTTCAATGGATCGTTTCTAAAAGTATTGCTACTAATAAGTTTCTTCCGTATTTACTGTTTCTTGCAGTTATTGAGTTAGTGTATCACGTATTTGAATGTGATTAAAATTTATGCGGTTTATACAATTTAGACTTCCAGTTTCTCTTTCAGAAAGTATCCGAGTATATAAACAGGTTAGTTTATCCAGTGACTGTGGTTTTCTTTGGGGATCCTGACACGTATTCTTCTAACTTCATTTTTTACTCTGATTGCAGTGGACAAAACGGTATTACGCTTGTTGCACGAGAAAATATCAAATGAGGATATGCTTCTTTGCTTGAAAATTCTTGAACGATGCTTCAGAGTACTCGAATCAGTATGTTTTGTTTTTATGAGTTTACGAAATATATACAGAGCCTCAGCATTATTGATTTTTGTGTTTAAAACTATATGCCAGTTTTGTATCAAGAAATGAAATAATTTTTTATCATTTTAATAGTTTTGCTGAATTTGGAATAAAATATCTGTTTTGAAGGCAACAGTCTGCAATGAGAAGAACGGAGCATATCTAATTAGCCATCGAGGGAGCGCCCTCATCCAATCATGCGGAAGGTATTTATGTAATCAAAACGTTTTTAAAGACGGGATTAAAATTTTTTAAACTGAATGAAAAGAAGCGCATTAGTATATAAATTATATGAGGAATTATCAATCAGATTTTGGACATAAAGATCGTAACTCTGACCTCTTTTCCCTAGGATGGTGCAGAACTTGTAAGAACCGAGTGATTAGAAATTATGAAAAGTATTGGAGTGTAGGATTACCAGAAAGAACGATGATATTATGTTATAATTCCTTTTTCCGTAACTGTCTTAAGGATTCAGTTGGCTGTACTTTTGTGAAGATTCCTGCAATATGATTTTCCAGGCTGATGTCTTTGTTGTTTCGCACTGTAGGACAACTTGGTGACGATACCAGTGAATTAAAGGAGCAAAATATCACTTGTCTGAATCGGATGGTTGGATTATTGATGAGTTTATCATATGAGAATGGTATGTTGATTGATGCTACTTTTTTTCGTGCTTAGTTATATTATAGTCAGTCTTATTTCTGTTTTTGTTTTGAAAAAAACGGATTAATGTTACAGAATTATGTTGCACGAAACTTGGTCAAATGAATGATTTCCTCTCACTGTGCGTATCCTCCTTTACCTATTTGGTGCCAAAGTATGTTCGTAAGGAGAAGCAGTTTGATCTTATTGTGTTGGTTAGCTTTTTTTGGGTGCTTGTTGTATTTTACTTCTTGTTTCTATTCTCATTTTTGGAAATTAAAGATCTCCGCTGTTTTTTTTGCAGCTGTGTAGTCTTTTGGTCAATTTGCTTGAACGATGTAATTTCAACAGACGTAAACTGATTGGGCTTACAGTCCCACTTTATGATCTCGAAAGTAAAATAGAGAGGCAAGAACCAACACTGAAAGCTCTTAGTCAGGTTATTTTTGTTAATCTCTTGTAATTCGTGGATGGAGTTCTAGTTGTTTTTAGATTTCATAATTTTGGGAGTAAAATTTTGTTCCAGTTGATGAAGAAAGAAATTTATTGTAGTTGTTACACGTTGCTTGATTTGAAAATGACTAGGTGATTATCTGCATTCATTCTTTTACAACACTGAGCAATGTTTAGCTATTTGTATATCATGAATCACTGGCTCGTTCGATCGATGAGGAACTGGATAATGATCTTGTCATTGAGGATGCTCCAGATGATAGTGTTAATCATGAAGAGGAGGCGGAAGGTTATTTTTTATTCTTAGATGAAAATACTCTTTATCGTTTTAAAAAATTCTGATCTTTTTTGATAAGTTGAGATTGTTGCAAATCATTTTAATAGTCGAGTTTTTAATATTTCAGATGATGGTCGGTTGCATCGATTGCCAACGGAATTATCCGAGGATGAGATGGTTGAAGCTGTACAAAATGCTATGAATAAGGCTAGCTCACATATGGAAGATTCAGTTTTGGCATCGTACTTCGCACTTTTGATTGGATGTTTATTATTGCAAAATGAGGTCTATCTTCTCTTCTACGAGACTTCCCCTGATTTTTTGTGCAGAAAACATTTGTTTTATATTAATATCACTTAGATTGTTTGTGGTCTTGCAGGAGTCAGTAAATGTAGTGAAAGTAGAAATGAAGGATGGAAAGTTGGTTGCACTAATTGAGCAGCTTCAGCGCTTTCTGGAATTTATCAAACTAACGGTCTGTTCATAACTAATTTATTACACTATTGTATTAATCTAGAATTTTTCGATTTTTTTGAAGAATTAGTCTTTCATGTTTTAAATCCTCACAGTTTTTATAATGTTATAGTTCATTATATATAGCTATTAGTCGGACTGTTAACAAATTTACTTTAGGATGGGAAGAAAGCACACGTTCGCTTTATGGAACGCATTATTGACTTACTGGATACATTGGATAATTAGTGTACGATTTGTTAGCCTTTTAACGAAAGGTTTTGCAAGTAGGAATTACTTGTGATCCTTTGAATTGTCTTTCACAACATATATTGGTTATTTCCATCCAAAGTCAGATCCTGGTTATGTTTTCAAGTATCATGAGATATGACATGGGAATGTATCCTTGGACAAGATATTAATTAGATACTTACAACTTTTGTTTTATTTTTGATACGAATGATTTAGTATAATATGGCTTTACAGTCATGAAAAATCATACCAATGTTGCAATTTGTTTTTATAGTGCACCTGCTCCTGTGGGTTCAAAAGTTGATCATCTCTCATCATCTTTGTCCACTGCCGGTATAATTTTGTGATTCAAGCCCCATTTTACATTGAATCCATTGTGATTTGTGCTTTAAAATAGTGAAAAATTATTTTTGCTACATCGGCAGATGATGATGTAGCAAAGTCATCCCTGAAACGACAGGCTGCAAAGTCTGCAGTCTCAGATTCTTTTTTATTTCTTCGAAGTTATCTCAGTGCTGTCGCCTTCAGTTTTCATGGCTCTTCAGGAAAACAGACTATTGATTCCTTCATAAGTAAAGTTAGAGTATTTAGTAGCTCAAAATGCTTTGACTTTCCTCCTAATTGAAATATCTGGAAATATTCTCATAATGAGTTCAGTCGTTGTGTTTGTTCAGTCATATTTTTTTCCTGTATTTCTTAATGTTACTTTACAAATACTAGTTCACATTTGTATGCTTTACCACTTCACGCAATCTGCATGGTAAATCTGCTTGTAAAAGCTCTACTCTGATTATTTCTACAGGTAGTAACTATTTTTATACGAGAGAAATGTACTCACAATAAAAATACCGTGTATTGTCAGCATTTGCGACGTGTTTTAAAGTAACGTCTCAGGAAACGAAAAAAGAGCATAGATGCGAATTCCAATTGGCGGGGCATTCCTTTGAACATGGCTGGACCCGGGCAGAAATCCCTTTACTATCCCGGAAGTATTTGTTTTTTCTACCGCATCATTTAGTCTCCTGCTTAATTTGTCACCATCCACTATTTTAATTTTCGATTTTCGAACTTCATAACATAGTCATTGCATCTCATTAAATATGTGCGAGGCAACACCATATGCAAAATCCTTAAAATAAATCGCTCCACCACATTTCCAAATGCAAACTAATAGAATTACAGTAATGGCACCATTCTGCATTTGGTACGAGATGGTGTGGCATAAGACGACAGTGGCCCGTCTTTATATTTCAAATGCAAACTTCGCTGCAAATAAAAACTCTGCAATTAAACTATAATCCAGACCTAAAGTGAAGAAGTGGAAGCATAGATACAAATTTACTATGTCAGATTAAGATTTACAACAGTAGCATTTCGTAATGCGTCAAATGAAAGACAACTTGATTAGCTCAAATACATCACAACGTTTTTTTAAAGCGCCAGTTTTGAGTAATCGCAAAAAACCCACATTTTCACGTAGAAAATTCGTTAATCAGGATTTAACGAAAAGCAGAGCACGAAGTGGTAAAAGCGCTGTGATTATTAAACAACAAATGGAATAATTGCAACTAAACGACAATCTTGAAGACACGTTTTTTAACTAAATGAAGATTTTCGAATAGAGTACTTTTCGTCAAATCATGCGCCCAGTAAAAGTAAAAAAAAGCTAGCAGAAACTTGGAGAAATGGCATTCTATCAAAAAATCTTCGTTTGATAGTGTTTGATAACGCATTTAAATTTCATTTAGCGACTTTCCTAACTCAAAGTTCAAATTACAAAACTATACCCTTCCCTTTTCCTTAACATTTAAGTAAAATTAATTTTAGAAAGTTGATTTTGAAGCCACTTCGGAATTGGCAAATCATTACGCAACAATAGCCTATGTAAGGCAATATTGTCATCTCTAAAAACAAGATCTAGTTTCTCTCTAAGTTCTTCATTGAGTGGTTCATATCTGCGCCCTTTACTTGTACCCAAACATTTTTTTGTCCCTGAAAAAAAGTAATCGAAATTAAAAGAAAATAAGCATAGATACTTTCCTTCGAAGTTTTTGCAGAACTTTGTTCTGACATTATTTAAAGTTTTTTTCAGACCAGAAAATTCAAAAGCAAAAATTTTCGTACCATTAATATAACTGCAAAAGAATCCCTTCCTGTCGTCAAATTTAATGAGATCACTGAAGGCAAATTTTGGTGCATGAAGAGCATCAACTAAATTGGTAACAGCAGCCACTGGATCTGTACGAAGCTGTTCACCATCAACTAAATGAATTTGCGTAGATGGATAATAATCCAACCAATGTTCCAAATGATGCATATACCTGGAATTTATAAATCCAAAGAATTAGATCTTGTTTTCTTACCTGAAAAATTTACCTGAAAAATCAAGATGCCAAGAGAGAGATCTGTTTTATATAGCTCCACAAATTTTCAATTTTTATCAAGTCACAATTCAGAATGGAATAGGTGAATAAAAATTTTTCAATACAAATGAATACCTTCCAGGTGAAATACAACGATTTCTGAGGCGCCGTAAAAGAACTGACGAAATATTGGCATCGAGAATTTCATTTAGTTCATATGTCATTGCTGTTGTATCATTACGTGCACGCATGTGCTGATACCAGGAATGTGCGCGCATTGCCGGATCCAAAAGAATAATCTGAAAAATAAATAAATAACAAAAATGTTTTAATAAATAACATTAATTTGATCTAATCAGCGAAGATTAAAAGATAAATATCAAGACTGACTCCTAACTGCCTAAATGCAAAAAAACAGATTAATAATAACTTACAACGATTTCTGCTTTTGGAAGCAAAGCAGCGGATGTACGCGGGGCATCAGGATTATCGAAGTAAGTTGCACTTTTCTCGAAAACAATAAGATGATCAATTTTGGAACGAAACTGATCCATATACCTGTAACTGTATCTCTTATGCTACCGACAATCACCTAAGCAGGTCATTGCCAACAAAAATGTGTACACTTGCCAATGCAATCCACGAAAATAATTTGGTCCTCCAAAAAACTGTAACTCCTCAAATGATGATGGGACTGGATCATTACTAGAAAAATTTGGATGCAAGTTAAGAAATGTGGCAAGAGCAGTTGAACCAGTTTTCTGCGGTCCCACAATAAGCATGTTTGGAAGCGGCATTTCAGAACAGTTGAAAGTTTGTGGAAGAATTTTTGCATGTCGTGGATCGTCACAAGGATTCTGAAAAGCTTTTATAAGCTACTCCAAAATCTTAGCTTCTAGGAAAATACAGATCAGAAAAAAATCCTAAAAAGAAAAGGTCATCCCACGAAGCACATAAGTTCAATATATAAAGGGAAACCCATCAAATATAAAGCAAAATTAAAATGGAGCAGACCAATGAGTTTCTTTCATTTCCTTAATATGGTTATATTTTCCTTAATTTATTAGTTGCATAATTCCATAAATGTCAATTAGTAACAAAGATGCAAACTTACACTCCAAATGGGGACTTTTTCGGCCGCATAACGTGCAAAGTAAGCAGATGCAATTCGTACAGGTTCTGCCCAATGCAAATGTAAATTCGTCCAACATTTAATAAAATTTACCACTCGTTCAAAAGAGAAAATTCCAAGACGATCGTTTGCGTAGTTTTGCTGATGTGTCATAAAGATCGAAAACTAAAATTTTGGATCTTATTCTTGGGATTCTTTCCTGGCTTTCCTAGAACTATTGGTTAAAAGTATGTTTCTTATTCATTAGAAACTAATTCTAACTAGAAAACGAGAAATTTGTTTTTAGCAGCTGGTAAAGAATCTTTATGGAGGAATAACAATACAATATCAACACTAATACTCACCGGATTAATCACTATAGTGAAGAACAGATCACCACCTTCAATGTTACTCAATAACTTAGTGAAACCATCAGGATATGAATGGAAGAATTGTGTGTGAGTGTAAAGACCACAAGTTTGTCGTGGAAGCACCTAGACGTAATTTTTTTAATATTAGCTACAGAAAACAACAAAAAAGTTATGATTATAAACATGATCTGCTTCAAAATTGTTAAAAGTTAAATAAAACAAGTGGTGAATGTGGAAGCGTTTGCACCTTATTCATGGAATGAATATCAAATAAATCAATGAAAATATAGTTATGATTCAGCCATTACTGTGTATCAATTAATCTTAATAACGAAAAATTACCGATATGTTCCTATGTACAAAGCCCCGGCGTGCTGATGCAGGTCGAAAATGGGGATATTCCTCTGTTGATGTTACTGTAATGTTCCAGATTAACTGCCACGAATTATACAAAGCTTCATGAACTGGATAAACACCAGCATGTTGTGGTGATACAGCGTAACCCGAATTGACATGCAAACCCATACCCTAGAAACATTCATGAATGTTTTTCGAAATATTCAAGAATTTTTCCACGATGTTTAATAAATTTATCAAAAACGATGGATTCCTAAATCAAAGACCAAACCTGCGCGAAAAGTTTATTTTGGGTCATGATAGCTTTTAAATATGTTTGATTATGCTCGTGTGCATGATTGTGTTTCCACATATGAGGGAACCAAGAAAAATGTTTTCCAATTTCTGAAAAGAACTGCGTCGCTTACATTAATATTTCAAACTTCAGTGGCTTTGAAACTGAATTCTTAAAACCTTACCAATTATCCTTTCATCACCTTCGTCTTCAAGAGAGTCGCCATTTCGGAAATAGTAACCAGAAAAACCCAGCGAATAAGTGAAATCTGTTATATCTTGACGCAAACGATATTGTGATTGCAACAAGGCATCCACATCCGCCTTAGTCATACGCGTTCCACTTGTACCAACAAATATGTCATCGATGTCGATTTGAATATATCGTTTCAAGTCATCATACATCAAAGATTCTCGCATATATCTGCAGAAAAATATTGGGAAAAAAGTGTGCAGCGAGTATGATTTTATCTCTTCCATCCATATAACGTTATAAAATTGCGAAATACATTTTAAAAAAAATCTTAACCTTAAAGAGTCAAGAAAAGCTAGCTTGTTGATCCAATGGGTGAAATTATGTCCAAATAAAATCCTTTCAATCCCATCTTCTGATCCATCGTCTAATATCACACTGGCACGTTCCTCACCAAAAATATCATCAACCAGCACAACACCTTCGTAGCCTGAAAAAAATGATGGACTTTCTTCTCATCTTACAAAACAAAATTCTATGCAAATTGTTCCTGTCGAAAAATTCATTTTTTCACCGATTTAAGTTACGAAAGTTTACAGTTCGATCCTAGACTTATGAAATATCCAAAAAGATGAATTCAGGTGTTTATATTATTTACCATTGGTGACGTCAAATAATATCCAATCATCTTTATCCGGTTCTGGTGCTTGTAACACAGCACCCGGCTTACCAATAAAATTAACACGCGATCGTTCACTAAAGCGAAGATTTCTAGCACGTTGCCGAGTATGAATTGTCAACTGTGAACCTTTCACTTTTGCATTAACATAGCTGTTGGGTCGATTGCCAATAAATGAAATTATACCGACTCCATATTCACGGCAATATTTGTCGAGAAGCTGTCGATTCCATGTTAGCAAATTTAAATACTTGTAATAATTTTCGATAATAATAATCGAGAAACGTCCACGTTTTGAGGTCGTTAGAAGTGGGAGATTTTTTGTAAGCGTTTCAACTTTATGAGGTATCTTCAACGCAATTAATATGTTAATTATTTGCTTCCCAAGCTTCGAATATAACGTTTCTACGAATACCAACACCTTTCCATCCGTTAGAAAATTAGTCTTATTTCTTACGAATCCATGATGCCTGTGAATTTTAACCGTTTTATTTGACAACGGACAGTAGTATGACGGTATATGTTGTGCTGGATACCTGCAAAAACAACAGCAGTACAGCATGATAAACTGCAAAATTTGTGATCACATTTAGATACAAACACTTCAAGTATTACATTTTGAAAAGGAAGAAAATAATGAAATGATCGATTTAAAAAATGATTTATTTAACTGTGACAATTAATTACACATGGCTGAAGTTTTTCTGGCATTTTAATTTCCTCCAAAAAGAAAGAAATGGTTGAAATATAGTCATTAATGTTCCACTAATATTTGTATAAAAATAAAATCCAAAACCTGTACTGTCCTTTTTCTGTGATGTCAACAAGATGAGTGAGAAGGAAGATGAATGATAAACAAGTGATTATAATCGTTATTTTTAGCCAAAAAATTATTCGCCGAGTTGGCAGTGTCAACATTTCTCAAATTTACCTTGTCCTCAACCCATGTCAACTGATAACGTTGCAGGGGAGATTTGTAAGTATTGCCTGAAATGCATAAATCAACAAGACCCACACAAACTAAGATGAATCTGATGTTCTTACAAATAAATTAAGAGAGACAAGACTTACCAAACGATGCCACACAAACCAGCTTTGTCACGTTCCCCGTAATGTTCTTCGATTTGTCCGTGCCGCAAATTCTTATCAGGATGTTGTACATTAGTCGCGTCAAGAAGTTTGCTAAGGTTAACTGCTTCAAGAATTCATCGGACGGCTGCTTCAAGAATTCATCGGACGGCTGCTTCCGCTCTTTGTTTGGGTTGTCATTTATTTAGAAAGTAAATAAATATTACTGTTTAGGTTTACAGAAAATCCAACAATTTTAGGAATTCCAGGAAGTCATTTTTGTAAAAGCCATCAAAAATATTAAGATGTCACAAATTTTTTAGTAATATCTATGCAATGTTTTGGGTTTGAGGGAGAATTCAAAAAATCAGGAGTTTGATAAGTAGTGATCGGTATTATATTCCTAACATGATGTGGTATACGTGTTATATTACCAGAAATTTCTTTCAATTCTTCTGTAGCCCCACCATCTACAATGATATTCTTTAGATAAGCTCTCTGTTTATTTCATTTTTCATTTTATTAGATCTCATCTAGTAAATACTTTGTTTTATTAGTTAAGACAAATGCATACCGGCATAGTTTTCTTAAGCTGGATTTTTAGTTATTGCACGCATTTCTATTTGGCATTATCAAATCAAGACAAAATGTCATGTGATTTAATTTGGTCCAATCAAGCAGGTAGTTTCATCTCTATTTAAAATGTCATCATTATTTCTTCGGATCTTTATTTGTGTTTTCAGCTAATTTGCTTTTTCTACAGGATTTTGCACTTATTTCGGCTGAAAATGATTGATGCTTAATTTCAGAAATGATTAATTCAATGTATGTAATATCGTTTGTATTAAACCGTCAATACGTGCTATGGAAGAAATAAGAATGGAACTGAGTCTTCGAAGTTTTTTTCGAGACTTTAACGCTTCGTTAGTTTTCTCTTTGGCAGTTTATTTAACAAATTTTAAGAAAACAAGTATTTTTAGTTTTCTGTACTTTCTGCGCTATATTTGCTTTCTGGTTTACTTAAATGTGGCAGTAGTTTTTTTCTTCAATAAATATAGTCACTTTTCACTCTGGAAAAGTAGTGGTTCTAAACATCCGGTCTTTGTGTTTTATAATCATGGGACACCTCAGGGTAAGTAAAGGCAACGTAATCTTACTGATTTAATTCCATTTGTAAATGCTAAACTATCAAGTTTTATAGGAAATTCGTCCTATACAGTTGTTTGTTATGTTTCTTTATACTTCTTCCATTGCGTTTTGATGGTACTATCGAGCTTAATTACGCGCTTGTGTTTTTACCGTTATGGATTTGCGAATTTATAGTATTTCTTGGAGCTATTGTTGCAGCAATATCCTTCACGCTCTACCCCCCATCTTTGTAAGTTGCTCTTATGCCACGATGCATCTTTCTAACGTTTTGATTTCAGATTAAAAGGTAGCTAATCATACCCCATCTTACTTATATACCTATATATACCCATCTTACCCCATCGTACCCCATCTTGACAGATTATCTCTCTAATGTATGCCTTGCAAGTATTTTGTAGTTAATCTGATAAATTTTTGATAAATGAATTAAATTTCTAAAAATATGAGTCGAACATATTACAGGACAGAGAGCTCACTTCGTTCAGATTTTTATGGGATGATACTATGTACTGGAGAGCACGGGTTACTGACATTGTTTGGAGTGTTATGTTGTCATAAATTGCAAACAAATGCAACAATAGACGAGCTACCTTGGTTGCTCGTTTTCGTCCCCATCTTTGCTCTAAGTTTACTCTCTGTAGTTGTTGCTGTATGGGCAATCAGAAACGATAAATCGTTTGAGGTTATTTTGCACTCCAAAATTTAATAATACCTGACTTGTTTTTTGCAAGCTTGGAAACATAGTAGATTTTTAATGCTCGATTTAATTCATAGTCACTGATTACAGTTGGAGCTTTTCTTTTCCATCAACATTGTGCAGTTTGTTTTTATCGCCTTCAAATTGGATGGTATATTAGATTGGCATTGGACAGTTGTTTTCATCCCGTTATGGGTAGTCCTGTCCTTGAGTGTTGTTGGAGTAAGTTTATTTGGTTGCTTTAGAAAATGTTTTACTGAGGAAATGTTGATTTTTTAATCATCGTTTATATACCTTTACTGAAAGAATTTGAAAAAATGCCGTTCAAATTTGGTTATCACTAGCTTTGTTTCTTTATTTTAATGAAATTTTGCTCATCATTAAACTGTGTTGAGATTTACTATTGTAGTTATTTAAATAAGCAGGATTAGTAAACTTAATATTACAGGTGCTTTATGCGTTTGTTCTAGCAGTTGTGTTGGCACGGTCAGTGCATGTGCTAGCTTCACAGAGAAGGCAGCATCTCTACTCTGCTCTTTGTCATACTTTGCTTGTTATACCAATTCTTATATTTCTTCTGCTTCTAACTGGTACGTATATCGCACTTATGAGGTTTTTCTCTGAAATGAATTTCAGCAAAGACTCGGAATGATGAAAGATATTGAATGTGGGACGATTTTTCCTTTAATTTGCGCTTTTCTTGTTTTCGAAAGTGTTGATCTCAGAATGTACGACTAGAATATTCGATTACTGCGTTTATCTAATAAGCTATTGGGTATTGCAGATTTTCATTTTTAATTTTAGGTAAATTGGACGCAGTATCATGGTCTGACGACGAACCAATCAGCCAAATTGCTTTTGTCATTGTATGTGCTCCGTTGGATTTGGCATTACTTTGTTTGGTTTTGATGTCATTTGGTGCACGTGGAGGTAATCCGTGGTGGTTTGCGATGCGTGCATCATTTTGCTCATTTCTGCTCGATAGTTGTCCATGCTTAAAACAATATGCTAATGTCAGTTACAAGTTCCATTCATCATCTGAACATCAAAATACATTGGAAGATTTCGAAAAACAGAGCCTGCAGTCGGATCATTCAATTAAATTCCCACTGCGTCCAGTCATACCATTTCGTTCAATCGAAAGTCCTGATTAGTAAAGCGTTCTATTTTATGTTTCTCAAAATTCTCAAAATTGTGCTTGAAAAATCCAAATGCTCTAACGTTGTATCTTCATTGAGAGCTGTGTTGAAGTGCATGTTATAAACTTAGAAACAAATTAGGGAAATATCATCTTTATCATTTTTTCTTAAGAATTTCTTTTATTTATTCCATTTCTTCTTTAACCATGGTTAGGCTTTTAGCGATTCGAAAACTTATATTTCTTGACCTGTATTTCTTACTTTGATTTAAAATTACATAATTATAATTTTAATGTGTATATTTTAAATCAAGGTATGAAACAGAGGTCAAGAATCTATGCATGTGTAATTATGGTATAGTTTTTTCAATAGCGTTTTTATTTGATCTCGTAATTGTGTTACAATTTATACATGTAGATTTTGAGAATATTTTTTATCATTTCCCTGTGATATGTGACATTGTACAAATATGTTGATAATTTGAACAATTTTTCCAGAACAACGGAGTCAAAGGTGCCTTTGTTCACTAATGTTTTCTTTAATGTACAGATTAGACTGTAAAACTTTCTCTGTATTATTTTTCTTATTGCGTATCGTTCTTCTATTTTTCAAGTTGCACTTTTCTTTTTTTAATAAATATTTCATAGTGAGCGATATGGCGCAATACTTGCAAGTTGTTAATGCGTGCATTTATATTTTCTTTAAACTTGAAAACATTCTTGAGTTGGAATGCGTTGTGACGGAATACGTTGTGACTGAATGTGTTTGTTTTCAGGTTGGAGAGCAAATTTATGCTGGACTTAGTCAATATATGCAGAAATATTTCATCTGATGTTTGCAGGAATATGTGGAATGCTCCGAAATCATTATGAGAAATTGCTACGATGTGCTAGGTTGTTCTCCAACAGCTTCGTACAGTGAACTGAAGGAAGCTTATTTCTCTAAGCTACGCATAAATCATCCAGATAAGGGTGGTTCCAGCTCGGCGTTATTTCTGGTGACGAAGGCTTGGTCTGTCTTGAAGTTGGTCTTGCAATTTATTAAATTTCATTAAATGGATTGAGAAAATGAGGAAAGAAGTGCGGGTGCTTGTGTAATAACTCTTAGTTTTATAAATTTCATGCATCTGTGAATAATTTATTCTAATGCACTTCTTTCGCAGAGGTGAGAATACTCGTCGAGACTATAATAATTGGTTAAGAGAACAGTTAATACGCGAGAATCAGGGTATTGTTAGACAACAAATCGTCATCAATAATACTGTTGAGCGAGTTGAAGAATTTTGCAGGTGATCGTTTCAAATGCTTTTTTCTTGCTTGATTGAAATAAGCAGAAGTAATTCTTGCTGATCTAGTTTTAATTGAATAGTTTTCCCTCATATTTTAACTCTATCTTCTACCTTTCGCAGACTTCAAATACTTTTTGAAATTTTTTTCCTCTGGAATCTCGGTTTTACAAGTTATATTTTATTAGATGAATTTCGACGCTATATCATGAGCGACTTGTTAATATTCATCAAAGCATGAGTATAATTCATCTTTATTTCACAGGTATATTTCAGTTGCGGTGGTGAATTTGTCCTTGAGAAAACAGATATTGATCGAATTATAAATTCTGCATATTTCGACTGTCCAAATTGTTCGTTATGTCTGGAAGTCAGTCGGGAATGAACTCGCATAAGATTGTTGTTCTTGGAAGTAGTGGTGTTGGTAAAAGTTCATTTGTCAACGCTGTTTGTAACAGGTTATCATTTCGAGTTTTTTGACTCAGGTAGAACGAACGATCTTATCAGTGGCATATTTAGTTTCTAGATATTATTCATTGAAGCAGTAGTGTCGTATTATAAAGTTTTTGGATCAAATAATTTAGTAAGGACAATCATGGGTCTTTTTTCCTTCTTACGATTCTGTGGCATTTGGAATCGACTTAGTCCAAATGACGAGTGTCTTTATTCAGAACTACAAATGGAAAATGCGACATATATGAAAAGAAAGAGAAAACAGTAAATATAGTCTGTTGCACTAATCTATATAGTCGTGTTGCAAAGGGATAATAAGTTACTATTGAATCATTAATGTTGCAATATTTTCTTCGAACAAAGAAGGGAAGAAACATCTCTTAGAGATTTTTTATAGCTGCGAGACTATTGCAAACTTATTTTACTTGAAGAAAGACAATTTAAAAATAAGGATGGAAATTAGAGAAGTTTAGGAAGATAATTTACTCGCTTTTTTATGTACACGCACATATTGACAATTGTTAATGCCTTAGGCACGAATTTTATTTTGTATTTCAAAAAAAATAAAGCGAAACGGCTACATTTGTTTTATTTTCAGGCATGATACAATTCCCAGTAGTACAGTCGGCTGTGCTGTTTCCGTAATCGCTCACCAATATCGTGCTGGAACCACTGACGAACAAACGGAACTTATTGAGCTGTGGGATATCGGTGGCTCCACAGTTCATCAGAAAGCATCTGTTAATTTCTTCGATGGTTCGTTGTTGAAAATTTATATCTTATTAACTCCAAGATTATTTTAAAAATTTTATCTTCAGGATTCTCGGTTTCTTTTTGTCTTTGTTTTTGCTTCTGATTTGAAATCCTACTGGACGAAATAAGTGGATAGTAAGTTGGTAATTCATTTTGCTTGCCTACTGCTTGAACTTCACTTGAGACTTTATCAGTGGGATTCATTTTGGCATATTTCATTTTTGATTTCTGTAAAGGGAATGACATACAAAAAAGAACAAATTAGTTACTGCTTCAGGAGCTACAGGCGCGATATTAGTGCATGATTTGAGCAATAAGAAAAGTGAGTCAAATCTTTCGCAGTGGGTTGCATTACTTCGTGGTGAATCACCGTTACCTTCTATGATTTCACCTTTCACAAGTTCATCCGGTTCACGATTTTTGTTAAGCGATATTGAAAGTATACCGATGCCGACATTGGTTGTTGGTTGTAAATCTGATTTAGCACCTGAACGAGCTAAACAGGTAGTACTGCTCACATGTTATGATGAAAAATCTCTATGGTTAATCAAATTTTGGGATTTATGGCTTCTTCTATGTTCTTTCACATCACTTGGATGAATTTTCAAATAATTTTAACAGTCACAATTAATTTTTGTTTACAGATAGCATATGATCGGATCTCTTTAAATTGCCGGCTTCCAATTTCACCTGGCTCCACGACCCGAATTATCTTATCAAAGTTTTTTGATTCAGTTGTTGAGCGTAAAAAAGTGCCTTTGGCTGGAGACAAACGGCGTAAGATTATTACCACTTAAGCCATGTTGTATAGATCTTAATATGTACGTTGTTTTCATATGAATTAATTATTCCGATATCTATTTCTATAAATGAAATTTATATTTTCGCAGCAATGTTAAACATCAGATGTGAGCATTCATCGATAAAACATTGTAGAGACAAATCACGTGAGGTTGAGAAAGTTTGTTAAGGGTATGAATTTCGGTTTGAGTTAATTTAATATAGTTTGGTGAATTGGTAGTGAATTTGGTGAATTGTATGAAAATGAGAACATCTATACTCATGCAAGCAAATTTTTTCTTGTTTTTTAAAATGAACGATATTTTCAATCAGTATATCTTCCGGTTACTTTTCATCAGAAGTAAGTTATAAAAATTGTTTCTTCATAATCACCGTCACGTATCCTATCACCTTTATGTAAATTACTAAGAATCTGGCCGACAATATTCTACCACAGAAAAAGGCCAACCATCGTAATCCATCAAGTTTGAAGAATATTTTTAACAGAAGTTGAAAGTATTTGTTTCTAAGACCGGCGGTTACAAAAAAATTCGTTGGTATATTGCTGAATAAGTTTTATAAGTTCAAACATGTACAGGAATAATGATATTCATAATGACCGGTAGAGAGATCGAAGTATCGACTGATATGTTCTGCACATTTCACCGCTTCCTGTTTTTAGACCATTTGATACGTAAGCAATGACTATCTTGTTGTCGAAATCGATATTCAATACTTGGCAACCATATCCCGGATGCCCAAACAAGTAACTATTCTACAAGATAGCATGGGTTTGGAGTACAATATTACTATTAAGTTGGGTCTTTATCTGAACTTATCACGAATCATGAAAATTAAAGAGCATTGAGAGTTGTCAGAATTTCAGACTACAAAAGTTATCAATGGAATTGAAGGTTTGGAGGAACAATATCATTATAGTCCATAAATAAAAGTGTAACAGTGAGAAAATTGTTGCTGTCGGGATTTCTGCGTTCCTTTTTGACTACAACTTTCTTTTCTGACTATTTTACCAGTAACTTATATGAAATTTATCTTATAGTATTTACGCTATAATAATTTTATGGTAAATAATTCATGATTTTTTGCCTAAGTATAGGTTCTCTTCTTATTTAATGTTGAAGAAATTGCTTACCTTATTGGTAGGGTGTTTATCAAAGAAGAATCCCCGACCTTTGACGAATGGATAGAGCAAAACCTGTTCCAAATGCCAATTAGTCACGGTTGGTTGAGTTACCTGTGCAAGTGTTCGATTGCTTAAAAGTGTACCATCAATTGCCAGTGAAAAAAGTTTTGCCAAATTATAAGCATCGCTGACACCACCTATTGCTGCCATGTTTAATTCAATAATATCTGGATCATTCAGTGCAATGGTATCCTAGAAATTTCAAATATTTTGATTAAAAGTGATTGTGAATAAGTAAAATATTTTTTAAAACAAAATTTGAAAGAAAGATGGAAATTTTTTAAAAATTAATCTTCCATTGATTTTTTATGCTGTTTGATATTATCATATTGGAAGCAAAAATGATTGAAATAAATCTAAAATTCATAGAATATTTATCAAATCACTTAAGAAACTTAAAGAAGTTCTACATGTTCAAGGAAACAAATTTTTACAAAACTCAGTGGAATCCATGATGCATGAGCTCGAATTCTTGCAGCCAGAGAATTTGACGGTTGGGCATACATTATTGCAAGCATGATAATCAGTCGTAGATCTAGCAGTGTATCTCGAGCATATTCAAGCAATCCAGGCTGAGTTAGTCGAGCTAAATTCTTGAATTCTTGCTTTGGTAAACCAATAGTGATGTTAATACCTAAAAATTTTTCACATTACGAAACTATGATCAAATTTTTAGCAAAAAATTTAGTAAAAATTTAATTTCGATTAAAAGATTAACCATATTTGTCAGCAATTTCTTCTTGAAGGAATGTTTTGATATTGCGACCTTTCTCATCCACTTTACGAAAAACACCATCAATCAACCAACCAAATGTTAGAGCATGATATCTAAAAATGATAAATAGAATTGCTAATTTTTGAAATCTTAAAAAATTATCATCGAAGAATCGAACATAATCTTATTAATTAAGAAGCTGTTTTATTTCATATTTAGAAAATCTTAAAAGATGACCCAGTAGCAGTGCCAGGCTTCCAAACAGGCATAGTTTGCTCGATTATCTTCATAATTCTTTTTTCATTTGCCACATCTTCTATTGTAAGATTATCAACATATGGAATTCCAGCCTGTATATGTTTTTGTATATAACTCAGAAATCACACAAATTAAAAATCCTTAAAGAAGCTGTAAAATAAAAATGCCAAAAAAAAAAAGTAGCTTCTCAAAATTTTTTCGAAATTAATTTTCAATTTTCGATTTTTGATCTTTTTTTTGTTTTCATTTTGTTCGTTTCATTACAATTTATTAAAATGAAATAACTTTATGTGTTAAAATATCTTCAATTGTTGTCATATGTTTTCCATGTTGTCCATATTCTGGCCAATATTTTACTACCAGATCATCATATGATAGACCAGCTCGATCGACTTGCATTGCTAAGCAAAGTGCAGCAATTGCCTGTAATTCAAGAATTTAACAAAATTTTCTTAAGCAAAACAAATTTCGAACAAATAACAAATCAATACAATTACAATGAAACAAATATGTTTTTAAATAATAATATATTTTAGATTCAATTATTAATTGAAATTTTTTAGTTCAGTTATGAAATTTCAAACAGAGATGAAGATTATCTCTGGTTCAATTTTATGAAAATATAATTCGAACTAAAACTGAAAAAAATATCAAATTAGTTTATTTATTAACGCTAGAAAATGTTGAAATGATATTTATTGATTATCGAAGTAATTAAAATTTATATTGAGGGGTATATAATTTTCAAAATTTCAAAATCAATCCGATTAATTATTAAATACCTTTGTGGTTGAAAATAAAACTGTTTTGGTATTATGATTCCATTCACGAAATGATTCTGAATCCGAATAACCATTCCATAAATTTATTATAACTTTTCCATTCTGAATAACTGTTAAATGTGCACCTTCTCTTTCAAAACCCTCTTCAAAATTTTGCCTAAAATGTGAATGGTTATTTCTTCCTGAATATAAATTTACTTTCAAATTTAAATTCTTTATCTTAAAGTATAATTCTTTCATCCATTCATTTCAGTTGTCACTTTTATTTCCCACAAAAATCTAATTATACTTTTATGAAGAATTCATCATAAAGCTGAAAAAAAACGAATACGAAGAATACATAAAAATGACACTTCAGATTAATTAATGAGAACTACATGAAATGAATTCTAATAATTAGAAAAGAAAATTTTTAATTGAAACAAAATATACCTAAAAGCTTTGGCGACAGCTTCAAATTGGCTGTTATAAAAACCTTTTGGAGGTGTTGATAAGCGGTATTGGAGGATGAAATGCCATTGCAAAATTTTGGAAGCAACGAAGTATGCTAACACCACTATTAACGATAATTTGACTCGTCGTGTTAATAAGTAATTTTGCTCCATCACTACTAAGTCTGAAAATTTATCGAATATCAAAAATTTAAATAATTTTAATTGTGAATTTTTCCGGATCTTTCGGGAATGGTACGTAATTAAAGAACCTGAAAGTAGCAGTAATTTACTGAGCAAAACATACTTCAGCGTTGAATTAAAAAAAACAGTGCACATAAGAATAACATCTTTTGCACAAGCAAAAATTTTTGTCAAATGTTATAATGTCAAACTCAGTTAATTGCTATTAGTTGGAAATAAATAACCCTCATTAAGGAACAGAAGCTATGGATGGATAAGTGGACTAGGATGTTGAATTATGGTAATTGGTATTAGGATATTGCAGCGTATTAGTTGAGATTAACTAATAACTGTATTACTTTCCTTTTTTGC